TCCAAGAGAATCGAAACTGCCCTTGTCGTATAGAGAATTTTATATTCTATCAGAATATGTCTAATATGTCTTGGTACGACCTCAAATATTAATAGTTTTGAGGGAGAGACAGCGGTTGTCCTGCTTATTTTGTCTTAAAGATGAAAAAACAGTATGAGTTTTAACACCCTTAAAAAAAATATTAATAAAAGTCCAAGAGAATCGAAACTACCCTTGTCGTATAGAGAATTTTATATTCTATCAGAATATGTCTTGGTACGACCTCAAATATTAATAGTTTTGAGGGAGAGACAGCGGTTGTCCTGCTTATTTTGTCTTAAAGATGAAAAAACAGTATCAGTTTTAACACCCTTGAAAAAAATATTAATAAAAGTCCAAGAGAATCGAAACTGCCCTTGTCGTATAGAGAATTTTATATTCTATCAGAATATGTCTTGATACGATCTCAAATATTAATAGTTTTAAGGGAGAGTGAGGGAGAGACAGCGGTTGTCCTGCTTATTTTGTCTAATATTAATAAAAATCTAAGAGAATCGAAACTGCCCTTGTCGTATAGAGAATTTTATATTCTATCAGAATATGTCTTGATACGACCTCAAATATTAATAGTTTTAAGGGAGAGTGAGGAAGAGACAGCGGTTGTCCTGCTTATTTTGTCTAATATTAATAAAAATCTAAGAGAATCGAAACTGCCCTTGTCGTATAGAGAATTTTATATTCTATCAGAATTGAAGAAGTCTTAATACGACCTCAAATATTAATAGTTTTGAGGGAGAGTGAGGGAGAGACAGCGGTTGTCCTGCTTATTTTGTCTTAAAGATTAAAAACAATATGAGTTTTAACACCCTCGAAAAAAATATTAATTAAATTCCAAAGAAATCGAAACTGTACTTGCCGTATGTAGAATTTATATTCTATCAGAATATAAAGAAAGTCTTGGTACGACCTCAAATATTAATAGTTTTGAGGGAGAATGAGGGAGAGACAGCGGTTGTCCTGCTTATTTTGTCTTAAAGATGAAAAAACAGTATGAGTTTTAACACCCTTGAAAATATTAATAAAAAAGTCCAGAGAGAATCGAAACTGCCCTTGTCGTATAGAGAATTTTATATTCTATCAGAATATGTCTTGATACGACCTCAAATATTACGAAGTTTTAATGGAGAGTGAGGGAGAGACAGCGGTTGTCCTGCTTATTTTGTCTTAAAGATAGAAAAACAATATGAGTTTTAACACCCTCGAAAACAATATTAATTAAATTCCAAAGAAATCGAAACGATACTTGTTGTATGTAGAATTTTATATTCTATTAGAATATGTCTTGGTACGACCCCAAATAATAATAGTTTTGAGGGAGAGACAGCGGTTGTCCTGCTTATTTTGTCTTAAAGATGAAAAAACAGTCTGAGTTTTAACACCCTTGAAAAAAATATTAATAAAAGTCCAAGAGAATCGAAACTGCCCTTGTCGTATAGAGAATTTTATATTCTATCAGAATATGTCTAATATGTCTTGGGTACGACCTCCTCAAATATTAATAGTTTTGAGGAGAGAGACAGCGGTTGTCCTGCTTATTTTGTCTTAAAGATGAAAAAACAGTATGAGTTTTAACACCTTAAAAAAAAAATATTAATAAAAGTCCAAGAGAATCGAAACTACCCTTGTCGTATAGAGAATTTTATATTCTATCAGAATATGTCTTGGTACGACCTCAAATATTAATAGTTTTGAGGGAGACAGCAAGTTGTCCTTGCTTATTTTGTCTTAAAGATGAAAAAACAGTATCAGTTTTAACACCCTTGAAAAAATATTAAATAAAAGTCCAAAGAAGGGTAGAAACTGCCCTTGTCGTATAGAGAATTTTATATTCTATCAGAATATGTCTTGATACGATCTCAAATATTAATAGTTTTAAGGGAGAGTGAGGGAGAGACAGCGGTTGTCCTGCTTATTTTGTCTAATATTAATAAAAATCTAAGAGAATCGAAACTGCCCTTGTCGTATAGAGAATTTTATATTCTATCAGAATTGAAGAAGTCTTAATACGACCTCAAATATTAATAGTTTTGAGGGAGAGTGAGGGAGAGACAGCGGTTGTCCTGCTTATTTTGTCTTAAAGATTAAAAAACAATATGAGTTTTAACACCCTCGAAAAAAATATTAATTAAATTCCAAAGAAATCGAAACTGTACTTGCCGTATGTAGAATTTTATATTCTATCAGAATATGTCTTGGTACGACCTCAAATATTAATAGTTTGAGGGAGAATGAGGGAGAGACAGCGGTTGTCCTGCTTATTTTGTCTTAAAGATGAAAAAACAGTATGAGTTCTAACACCCTTGAAAAAAATATTAATAAAAGTCCAAGAGATTCGAGAATCGAAACTGCCCTTGTCGTATAGAGAATTTTATATTCTATCAGAATATGTCTTGATACGACCTCAAATATTAATAGTTTTAATGGAGAGTGAGGGAGAGACAGCGGTTGTCCTGCTTATTTTGTCTTAAAGATAGAAAAACAATATGAGTTTTAACACCCTCGAAAACAATATTAATTAAATTCCAAAGAAATCGAAACGATACTTGTTGTATGTAGAATTTTATATTCTATTAGAATATGTCTTGGTACGACCCCAAATATTAATAGTTTTGAGGGAGAATGAGGGAGAAACAGCGGTTGTCCTGCTTATTTTGTCTTAAAGATGAAAAAACAGTATGAGTTTTAACACCCTTGAAAAAAATATTAATAAAAGTCCAAGAGAATCGAAACTGCCCTTGTCGTATAGAGAATTTTATATTCTATCAGAATATGTCTAATATGTCTTGGTACGACCTCAAATATTAATAGTTTTGAGGGAGAGACAGCGGTTGTCCTGCTTATTTTGTCTTAAAGATGAAAAACAGTATGAGTTTTAACACCCTTGAAAAAATATTAATAAAAGTCCAAGAGAATCGAAACTGCCCTTGTCGTATAGAGAATTTTATATTCTATCAGAATATGTCTTTGGTACGACCTCAAATATTAATAGTTTTGAGGGAGAGACAGCGGTTGTCCTGCTTATTTTGTCTTAAAGATGAAAAACAGTATGAGTTTTAACACCCTTGAAAAAATATTAATAAAAGTTCAAGAGAATCGAAACTGCCCTTGTCGTATAGAGAATTTTATATTCTATCAGAATATGTCTTGATACGACCTCAAATATTAATAGTTTTAAGGGAGAGTGAGGGAGAGACAGCGGTTGTCCTGCTTATTTTGTCTAATATTAATAAAAATCTAAGAGAATCGAAACTGCCCTTGTCGTATAGAGAATTTTATATTCTATCAGAATTGAAGAAGTCTTGGTACGACCTTAAATATTTATAGTTTTGAGGGAGAGTGAGGGAGAGGCAGCGGTTGTCCTGCTTATTTTGTCTTAAAGATTGAAAAACAATATGAGTTTTAACACCCTCGAAAAAAATATTAATTAAATTCCAAAGAAATCGAAACTGTACTTGCCGTATGTAGAATTTTATATTCTATCAGAATATGTCTTGGTACGACCTCAAATATTAATAGTTTTGAGGGAGAATGAGGGAGAGACAGCGGTTGTCCTGCTTATTTTGTCTTAAAGATGAAAAAAACAGTATGAGTTTTAACACCCTTGAAAAAAATATTAATTAAATTCCAAAGAAATCGAAGCGATACTTGTCGTATGTAGAATTTTATATTCTATTAGAATGTGTCTTGGTACGACCTCAAATATTAATAGTTTTGAGGGAGAATGAGGGAGAGACAGCGGTTGTCCTGATTATTTTGTCTTAAAGATGAGAAAACAGTATGAGTTTTAACACCCTTGAAAAAAATATTAATAAAAGTCCAAGAGAATCGAAACTGCCCTTGTCGTATAGAGAATTTTATATTCTATCAGACCATGTCTTGATACGGCCTCAAATATTTATAGTTTTGAAGGAGAGTGAGGGAGAGACAGCGGTTGTCCTGCTTATTTTGTCTTAAAGATTGAAAAACTATATGAGTTTTAACACTCTCGAAAAAAATATTAATTAAATTCCAAAGAAATCGAAACGATACTTGTCGTATGTAGAATTTTATATTCTATTAGAATATGTCTTGGTACGACCTCAAATATTAATAGTTTTGAGGGAGAGTGAGGGAGAGACAGCGGTTGTCCTGCTTATTTTGTCTTAAAGATGAAAAAACAATATAAGTTTTAACACCCTCGAAAAAAATATTAATTAAATTCCAAAGAAATCGAAACTGCCCTTGTCGTATAGAGAATTTTATATTCTATCAGACCATGTCTTGGTACGACCTCAAATATTAATAGTTTTGAGGGAGAGTGAGGGAGAGACAGCGGTTGTCCTGCTTATTTTGTCTTAAAGATTAAAAAACAATATGGGTTTTAACACCCTCAAAAAAAATATTAATTAAATTCCAAAGAAATCGAAACTGTACTTGCCGTATGTAGAATTTTATATTCTATATATTCTATCAGAATATGTCTTGGTACGACCTCAAATATTAATAGTATTGAGAGAGAGTGACGGAGAGACAGCGGTTGTCCTGCTTATTTTGTCTTAAAGATGAAAAAACAATATAAGTTTTAACACCCTTGAAAAAAATATTAATTAAATTCCCAAGAAATCGAAACGATAGTTGTCGTATGTAGAGTTTTATATTCTATCTGAATATGTCTTGGTACGACCTCAAATTATAATAGTTTTGAGGGAAAGTATGGGAGAGACAGCAGTTGTCCCGCTTAATTTGTCTTAAAGATGAAAAAACAGTACGAGTTTTAATACCATTGAAAAAAATATTAATAAAATTCCAAGAGAATCGAAACTACCCTTGTCGTAAGAGATCGCCTAAGAGTCGCGCTCTCTGTATCGATATCGATTCCTGCAACACACCGTCCGCATGGTTTCTCCTGCTGCCGATGGCGAATCGATCTCCAACCTGCTACAGAAAGACGCGACCCAACCACACCATCGTCCACCTGTCGTTCGAGTTTCAGTTTTATCCTTCAAACGGGTAATATCCACCTGGTTTGACGTGCCACGACCGAGAAGAGAATGTGGTACGTCGTCCGTAGGTACCACCACGCAGAACCGACACCAGCAGATTCCGCAAGCAGCAGAACCACTACTACTGCTAGCTAGCAGTCGACGTCGCGAGATTATATCCTACCAGTTGTTGTTATTGTTATTAAAGTCGTCTTTAAGTCTACAAAACGCGCATTAAAATAGTGTTTAAAGTAATAAAAAGTGAAACGGCCGCGTGTGGGTGTCAATTTCCTTAGTTTACCCGATCTTTAGTACGCTGCAACCGAAAAAACGGTTCTTTTTAGTGTTCTCGCTACCGCAGTGTCGTAAACGCTCGAAAACATTCCGTACTCGCATGTTGAATTAGTGCTATAGTGTCAACACAGTAGTGTTTTACTTGATTTGTGTTTGTTCGTACCAAGTAACAGACATGTAGTCTGCAAAAACTAACATTTATTCAGCGACAGCCACAAGGAGAAACCAGATATTTTTGGAATTCGAATTTAATTTTACTAAAAGGTAATTATCATCAGAAGCTTCATTATAATGTATAATTATCTTCCGTCTCACTCGGTTTTGTACCTGTAAGTTGAGATAAAATACGGGCAAGATCAAGTTTTATATAACTTAAGTTGAATCTTGTTTTCTGTATATCTGTTACATTAAAAACATACAGAAAGTGTTTGTTTCTTATTGAGGTTATGTAGTATTTATCCATTCTCCATCTTTGTTTTTGATGTAGACTGCATGGAACACGTAGAAATTGAATCCAGAAATGTTTTTTCCTTTGTTTTTGATGCTATCCCCTTATACTTGTTCTCTATAACTTACAAGATAAACCATGTTCAAACTATATAGGTACTGTATCACTTGATACTGTTGAATTGAAATATGAGCTAGAGCAAGTTTCATCTTGTTTTCTGTACCTCTGTAGCATTAAAAACATACAGAAAGTGTTTGTTTCTTATTGAGGTTATGTAGTATTTATAATTGTTCTTTTATTGGCCCTGATTGGCTGCACTGAAACCATATTAAACAAAAACACTAGAAAATATATCTAGTGTTCTACAGCAGAATATTTTATTTCGGAATTTGTTAAAGAGGGGTGTTTTTGCTTTTGCTAAATCCACTCTTACTCATGAGAGAATGAGCATTGTGGTCAATAGATTTCACACTCTTGTCGTGGCAACAGCATGACCGAGTTTCCTTACGTTCACCCATCCATCCTCTCGGATCCTCTAAATTCGCTTAACTCGATCGGTGATCTATCGGGAACCAATGTTTCAACGTATTTATAGTTTCTGTAGTTTTCTCGGATATAAGTTATATAAAGACAAAAGACATCATAGAGAAATATTAATCAACACTCAAGTCTACAACATGTAATCATCTACTTCAGTATTTATCTCCAAAGTGAGCATTTAGTTGAAACAATAATAAATTATTTTTTTCCATGGCAACTGTTAAAATTGCCTTATATCTATCAAAAGTAGTAGATAAAATAGTACTTTAACCGCAAGAGGAGATTAAATAATACTTTAACAGCGAAGATACGTTGTAACGTTTTCTTGACACAATGCAAACGGCAGCTTTTCGTCTTTGCGAGCAGTCGTAGGTTCGTTTTTTTTATTTTCTTTATTAGGTGTTATAATTAATCAATAAAACAATAATTATTGGGCGCCAGGACATTCACTTAGAAATAATAGATCTCTTTACCCCAAATTAAATTTATTTATAATTAAAAAAATATTAAACAAGGACAGTAATTGATGTGGATGAAGGAATAAGTAGTCAACATTTAAATGTATGATAAAAAACTACTATCACTTGTTTTGTTGATTAAAAATCATTGACATATTAATATTAAATTACGCAAAATAAAATTAAATGAGTACCCAAACTAACGCAGTTCATGAACCTTGTTGTATGCGCACATAATTCCGTAAATCACTCAAAAGTTAATTAAATAAATATGTCACACAAGTGACACCATCACAAAATACTTGACAAGATATTAAAATATATAAAAATTTGTATATTTAAAATTAAGAAAGCTATATTTTAATAATGAAATCCAAAAATGATATCCAATAATTACATAATTAATTAGGTAATTCGTCAACAGTACGTAAATAGATTTGAAATGATTTAACAAAAAAAAATGAAATCTGGCCTGATTATCCGGTGCAATTCCAGGCTTTGGCTCATCCTTCGGGATGGTGTGTGGACGCTAGGTGTGGGAGCTCATCCCCAATCTACCACAGCCTCGAACAGCCCCTTGCAATACCACCAGCCATGTGGAAATCAAACATGGATCATAGATACAGGCTCTCGTACCCTCACGATGCTGAGGGTTTACTCAAAAATTAAACTTATGACAGGACAACCAAAACCACGTTTAGAAAATCACCAAAATACCCATGAAATCTTAAAATTGATTCCTTCCCCAAATGCCAGGAACCATTAGGACTACATTTCAAAGGTTAATAGAATTAAAAAGTTTAAACTTTCTCGGATGACTTCAGATAAGTATGTCGATGTTTAAGCCACGAAATCTGAATCAAAAATGGTGACTTCCGATAGTCAAGAAGATGCTCTAGTTCTGCGCAGACAAGGGCAAGTACGATCAACAGAGTATCCGAAATTAGTCACAACTAATTCGGTAGGCTGTATGTTGGGTTGCCAATAGTATCGTTTTATTAAAACGTTACAACTTCTCGCACGTTTTTTAATTGTTTCCATTTTTGAAAAAAACTGTATTCCTTTTCATAAGTTATTCGGAATTTAAATGGAAGTAGTTTGGATATGGCGTCTGTCGCCTCAGCCTGAATATCTGTTGGCAATTTACTTATTTCGTTTTGAGCCATTTCTAGCTCAAGTTCAATCAGCAATCGACACGAAAGAGAATTAAAAAATATTGACTCAAAACTGACAACTAAAGAGACAGCTTTATTTATTTGTCAAATTACATAGAAACCAACGCCAACCCAGCACAATATTTTTTACTCGTAATAAATTTCTTGAAATAATAATTTCTGAATATTTTTTAAAACGTAACTGGCTATGGAAAAAAATATTGTTTATACACGACGATAAAATTGCATTATCGTCTCCCGAAATCGTGGATTAATCATTTCGGTATAAAAAATAACTATTTGTACAAATAATTTGGTGATTTTATCCAATGACTGTTATCTTTACATAATATCCATAGTTAAATGGATTGTAATGTTTTCGGTCATTTTAACATACGAGCTACTTAGTCTTAATTGCATGGTATTTAGTGGTATTTATCCAATATTAACAACCGATTTTAACTAAGAAGGTTTTTAACGTTCCACTTTCTTTTCCAGCATAAACAATTTAAGAGAAATATTTAGATAATTATATCGCTAGGTAATTAAATGTGCTTTTTACAAGCGCTGCCACTGTTAATATTTGGAATGTTATTTTGACAAAAATAAATTCTTCTTAAGGCCAACTGGCAGTAAGCGCAATTAAAAAATAAAGTAGTGTACGGGCTAAGTAACTGACGTCTATGGCTTGACCTCCGCCAAAATTATCATCGATTGTCATTTCTCAGCCGTCTTTGACGCCTTTTTTTATCGTATGGTATCACTAAAAAATAAAAAAAATATGATATTTAAAAGGTGTTATGATAGGGTAAAAATAATATGTTCAGACACAATTTAAAGTTCCCAGAAATAATAATTTTGTGTGCCTGGGTGAAATTCCTTTTTGATCTTTTATAATTAGTGTTAATTTTTGAATGAAGTTCTCTGAGATTCAATCGTGTCTAGAGATTGCCCTCGACAAAATTACCATCGATTGTCATTCCCAGCCGTCTTTGACGCCGTTTTTTTTTTGATCAGACGGTATTACAGAAATATAGACATTACTAAAGTATGCTTCTTAAAAAATAAGTGCTAAATCTGACCCACTTTTTCACAACATTCCAATGCCACTATTACACGCTCTTAGCCATCTAAACTAACTTCTTCTTCAATCTCGATATAAAAGAGTGAAAGAGATAGAGACACTGTATAAAATAAAAATTAAGTACTTTAAGAGGTTTTTATTGCTTTACGCGTTTGTAGAATGGTGTAATAACCAGATGGAATTCCCTAAAATCTTTCTCGGCCTGTGTACGGTCTGGTAAGTGAAAGCTATTAACGGTATCTTAATTTTTATATGTAAATTTTAGTTCTTTAGGCATCGTGTTGTTTATAGCAGTTTTGAGGTGGTGTCTTGAAATTTTCTCTAGATATGACCCAAGTGGCAAAAAGAAATTCTAAAAGGATTGAATTGTTTTATAACAGTCGAATAGCGTTGTCTTAAGGACTACTTGATTTTATTAAGCGTTTGATTTCGACCATTCTGTTTTTCAATTAAAGTTGTCATATTAAACTATTTTATAGTGATTTTTACAACGTATTCTATAACGCATTAAACGATAATTTCTTTTAGTATGATATAATACTTAATAAGACAATACTATATGATAACAAACATATTATTTTATTAGACTCTTATACCCACCATGTAAGAGTTCTATAATATTCATATAACTAGTAGTCACAAGATCATATAATAGTAACTTAAACTTGTCTTATTAAAGTTGTATTACGTTGTATGATAGAACGTTTTATTGCATTAAACTACGGTGCTGTATACAACACAGTTATATAGCCTTATATGATAAAATTGTGATTAACAAAATAAATTCACTGTAATATCTGCATTATAAAACTGGTAATGTATAATATAACCTCATTTTAATTTAAGTGGTATACCTAGTTATTTATTTTGTTATTGTTGTTGTTGCAAAAGTAATATCTACGTACGAGTATAATCAATCACAGCTATTATGAATTCTGGACAAAGTTGGAAAAAACTTAACAAACGCAGTGGTAGTTATAAAGAGCATGTAAGAAAAAACTCCTCGAAATTACGGCAATAATCCCGAGAATTACCTGGATTCCCAAAAGCCAAAATCTCTCGGGTTGTCTGGCTTCTTCAAAGCATTGTTGCTACGTTGGTGTAAAAGTTTTACTGTAGTAATGTTTGTATTGTTTTATTGTTGTTTTTCTAAGTCCTTAGGTTGCCGCTCACTCGTCGGGCACGCATGAAATGCATTGCGTGCATGAATCCATGAAAATCTGATCATGTTTGTTAGTTTAAATACTAATCAAATGAGATTTGGCAACATCTATTTGTCACAAATCTCAATATGTCCAAAATAGTTTTATAGTGCCTGGAAATTCTGCGTAATGATGGATATTTATCCTATACCGTTTTATTTTACAACAAAGACTTATTTAAGGGATTCATTTATAATAAAATGGTTGCATTATAATTCGCCATGTTTAAGGCAGAATTTTTGTATGGTCTATGGCCGCCATTATATGAAGCAAAATTAAAAACATCAAAATACATTGTAAAATGTTATTTTTGGGAACTATTTTGTGATAAGATTGCCACATACAGTAATAAAGTGTTTAATTAAATTAAAAACAAGA